ATCTAACTACGGATCCTTGGGCCTGAGCCATCTGGGCCAGAACTGTTGCGTTAGATCTTTTTCTAATATCGTATTTATGCTCTTTGACCCTTATTCCTAGGTTTCTCGTTGTAACTCCTATGTACTCCTTTTCTATTCCTAACTGCTGGTTCTCGTACGGGATCCTATAAACTCCTGCTTTATCTTCCTTTTTGATATCCCCTTTATCATTTCTTAGAATCTTGTACAGATTCGGAGCTCGTTTTACGATCAACGTTGATCCTTTACTGTCCGCAATCTCCTTCATGATGGTTCTTACATTTTTGTTGAATGTACACTTTGTGTATTTACTAGGTTCTTGTTTTGAGGCCCTTGTATCGCCTATCTCAAATTTTCTAATAATGCCAGCGATTATGTTTCTCCTGTAACCCAAGGTTTCTGCTATCTGCATAATCCTTTTCATTTCTTTATTTCTGTCCATAATGTTATCGTAATATAGAAAAGCCCTTCTAACTAAGGCACGAAAAGCTGCTAATTTATAACGAAATGGATCATTGGACTGCGCAGGAATGTAGAGTATGCGTTGGTTTAGTATACACACTAGTAGATAAATGCCCTTTCTTAAAGATGATATTGATATCCAAGAAGTGTATCACTACGGAACTTTTTTGCTCTAGTTTCAGGTTTAGGCCGTCTTTGTTATCGTTGATTCTTTCTATAAAATTACTGTTTTCTCGATTATTTTTCCATAGTATAAAGATATCATCGACATATCTCTTGAAGTAAACAATATCATTTCTGAAGCTATGCACAACTTTTTCCTCTATTTTTCTTACCAACAATTCGCATAGAAGCCCCGATATTGGGCTTCTCATAGGAACTCCCCTGTTTGTACGTTTGGCCTTCAAAGCCAAAGAAGGATTCACAGCATACAAGGTTAGCCATCTCTAAAACTTCGTTCCTATGGTGTATCAACTCTGTGTTTTCTTTAAACAAGAACACCATTAACGTTTCCAAACAAGACTCAATTTTAATTGAAGGGTATAAACTCTCATAATCTAATACTGTTCCCACTTCCTCATCCATCAGAGCTATATCTTGCAACTCTTTAACTACTATTGTAGGATCTTGTGCTATCAGAACACTGCTATCCAGTAGGGAGGAGATATAACCATGCAACCTTTTTTCTAAGACAAATGTAGGAGCTTTAAATTTCTCCACTATTGGCCTAATTTCCTTGCCTTCCTTATGTGTTTTAGCAAATGCAAATAGCCTTGGAATCCCAGGTCTGGGATTACGGCACTTCTTGATAAAAAGTAATACCGCCGTAAGNAGTGCACTTGCTTGATGATTTCCGCATCCTCCCATCTAACTACGGATCCTTGGTCCTGAGCCATCTGGGCCAGAACTGTTGCGTTAGATCTTTTTCTATTATCGTATTTATGCTCTTTGACCCTTATTCCTAAATTTCTCGTTGTAACTCCTATGTACTCCTTTTCTATTCCTAACTGCTGGTTCTCGTACGAGATCCTATAAACTCCTGCTTTATCTTCCTTTTTGATATCCCCTTTATCATTTCTTAGAATCTTGTACAGATTCGGAGCTCGTTTTACGATCAACGTTGATCCTTTACTGTCCGCAATCTCCTTCATGATGGTTCTTACATTTTTGTTGAATGTACACTTTGTGTATTTACTAGGTTCTTGTTTTGAGGCCCTTGTATCGCCTATCTCAAATTTTCTAATAATGCCAGCGATTATGTTTCTCCTGTAACCCAAGGTTTCTGCTATCTGCATAATCCTTTTCATTTCTTTATTTCTGTCCATAATGTTATCGCAATATAGAAAAGCCCTTCTAACTAAGGCACGAAAAGCTGCTAATTTATAACGAAATGGATCATTGGACTGCGCAGGAATGTAGAGTGGGCTATGCGTTGGTTTAGTATACACACTAGTAGATAAATGCCCTTTCTTAAAGATGATATTGATATCCAAGAAGTGTATCACTACGGAACTTTTTTGCTCTAGCTTCAGGTTTAGGCCGTCTTTGTTATCGTTGATTCTTTCTATAAAATTACTGCTTTCTCGATTATTTTTCCATAGTATAAAGATATCGTCGACATATCTCTTGAAGTAAACAATATCATTTCTGAAGCTATGCACAACCTTTTCCTCTATTTTTCTTACCACCAATTCGCATAGAAGCCCCGATATTGGGCTTCCCATAGGAACTCCCCTGTTTTGTTTGTACGTTTGGCCTTCAAAGCCAAAGAAGGATTCACAGCATACAAGGTTAGCCATCTCTAAAACTTCGTTCCTGTGGTGTATCAACTCTGGGTTTTCTTTAAACAAGAACGCCATTAACGTTTCCAAACAAGACTCAATTTTAATTGAAGGGTATAAACTCTCATAATCTAATACTGTTCCCACTTCCTCATCCATCAGAGCTATATCTTGCAACTCTTTAACTACTATTGTAGGATCTTGTGCTACCAGAACACTGCTATCCAGTAGGGAGGAGATATAACCATGCAACCTTTTTTCTAAGACAAATGTAGGAGCTTTAAATTTCTCCACTATTGGCCTAATTTCCTTGCCTTCCTTATGTGTTTTAGCAAACGCAAATAGCCTTGGAATCCCAGGTCTGGGATTACGGCACTTCTTGATAAAAGGTAATACCGCCGTAAGCTTAGTACCTTCCAGCTTTTTGACTCTTCTGTCAATAGACTCAACAATTTTATCGTTGGTCTTAACACATTCCGTTTTTTTTATGTATTCTTCCAAGGCTTTATTGTAAGTCTGTTTTTTCATTATAACTATTTGTTTGCTTTTATCGGCCCTTGCCGCAACCAAATTATTTACTTTCAGCCAACGTTTGGTGTATTGGATGTCGTTGTTCCTGCTCCCTCCTCCTTTCCATTTTTCTTGATTTTTAATGACTGTTTTCCAACGTAGATAATCTTTCTCTATTGGATCTAATCCAACTAATCCTCTTTCAATCTCCTGGATGGAGGTTTCCCAACTCCCTACATTCTCTGGAACGAAATTCGGGCCTTTCTTCAGAACTTCTTTTACCCTTTCCGGTATTTCAACTTGGTCCCACAAACTTGGTACCCTTTCTGATATTTCAACAGCCTCATGGATAAACCATCCTCAGGTGTAAATGAGATTGAACGTATTTTATTAAATAAACATTTCTCAGCGAAGGTGTTTAATGTTTTATTAAGTGTCATTTATTTATCCATAAACCAGGTTTTGGGTTTAAATAAAAGCTTTTTCATTCTTATAATAAAATTCATATAGAAAATTATGAAATCGAACTCGAAGATTATATATCTTTCAATAAAAAGAAAACATTCGNTGTCATTTATTTATCCATAAACCAGGTTTTGGGTTTAAATAAAAGCTTTTTCATTCTTATAATAAAATTCATATAGAAAATTATGAAATCGAACTCGAAGATTATATATCTTTCAATAAAAAGAAAACATTCGACCTCACAGCGATTCGATCTAGCGCTCTTGAAGTGATTGCAATGCCCCTGGTGGTAACATTTGTCTCTAGTTGATTTTAGCAACGACCGAAGATAGGTAGTCGAAAGACTAGTTAATCTACCGACTCTGGTACTAATAGTTCACGAAAATAATAATTTTCGCGAACTATTAGTACTTAAGTATGTAAAAATTTATTACATTTCATGTTGTACGAGGGTTTTACCCAATTCTCGAACCGTGTTAGAGTAAATCCGTGTTATAGAAGTGCCGTGTTATACAGGGGTTACCTGTATTTGCTAACTGATATATTAAAAAATATGTCGAACAAATTTAAATACTTCTAATTAAAATAAATTATTGATTAATCTATCGCATTAATCTGTTAAAAAATAATGCAAATAACATATGTTGGTACCGCCTTTTTAACTTTGTAAAATGATTTGCTTAAGTCGTTCGGGGCTAGCCGCTGATTATCAACAGAGCCGAGAACACGAGGGTTGCTAACGCTGCTGCAACATCAGTGCACTAGAACATGCAGATAAATTCTGATACGCGCATGCGCACTAGGCACTTGACGTTTCACCTTGGTTTAAAAATGTTCGCTCATGAGCATTCCGTTTCTCTGTTAAAATAGTTTGAACATGAGACTGGGGCCATTCGGTTACTAAAATCATCTGTAAAAGAAACAAACGCCATTAATTCGTATAAAATAAAATGTTTTTCTTGTAAAATTATGTAAATTAACATATATAGACGATTAATATTTTATTTATTTTTATTTTTGACTTTTTGTTCTGTTGGCACTAAGACCTTTCTTCCATACTGATCGTGGGTTCTGCCAGGACCACAGTGGGGACTGTAAAGGATGGGACCCGATGTATCCGAGAAAGGCGGCATATGAAAATTTCCTTAAAGTTTGCTACCCGATTCGATCATGATGTCCGAGCAGTTAGGGTGGCAGCCTACCGCTATGAGGGATCCTGGATCGAATCCGGATGGGCCTAAAAACTTTTGAAGGATGTCGGTCTCTGGTCCCTTATCACCCGGCCGCTCCATTTTGAGCCAGGCCGAACCAATAATGGGCTTGCTAAAAAGGCCTTCTTAATGTCCACAGGGCGGAAAAAGTTAAAAAGAAAAGGTTCTTCAGAGCAGTAGACTAACGCTTTACCACCTCAACCATTCTATTTTTAACTATCGTTTTAACATATTCTCATTGAAGTTGACTATTGTATATTTAATTTCAGTTACAATATATGTTCACACTTTAAATTAAATTACTTTTAAATTCAAAAAATATATAATATATATTTTACGAAACTTTGAATAATAATTAATATTTGAAATAAGCTTTTTATGACATTATTAGAAATTTCATAATAAAAAAAAGAAAAATTAATGATGAAAAATAATGACGCAATGATTAATTTCCTCATAATTTTAAGAAATGAATTACGAACTTAATTTGAAATATTTTAAGTTTTATAAAAATTTAGATGTAATTCTTGTCATTTTTTATTTAAAAAGATGCGTGTAAATTATTTTTCCTTAATTTAATTATTATATATTTTTAGTAATAAACTTATTTAAAAATATAAAATAATAAACTGATAATTACTTAGGATCTCTTTAAATATATTTTCGTCAATTAATAAAGTAAGAGGAATAAGGAAAATAATACTAAATAATTAATATTAAAAAAAATTAAAAGTACAAAATGTCGGTACAAGGGGGCACTGAAAGTCAAAATCCAATCGTAACCCAGCTGATGGATTAAGTGAGAGGAAGAGTTGGTAGAAAGANTGTTTGTGGTCCAATATATACATTACTTTTGATAAATGTTACAGCTGAGGAAGAGTTGGTAGAAAGAATATATTTCTATTTGGTAATTAATTCTTTTCGTTATAAACGTAATTTGTTTCTTTATACATTCACTTCTTACTCGATCACTATCATTCTTATAAAAGTAGCTTTTATATTATGCTTTTACGAATGTAATATAGTGTATCCGAAACCGCCTCTCCCAGTCATGTGAATCTATAAAACGACGAATTAAAAAGTTTTAATGTTATTTTCTTATCAAATGCATGAAAGGATTATGAGAACTTATATCATATTTGAATCGAAGATGTTATAAATAAGTTTCTTCCTGCATTTTATAAATATAATGACAAATTACGAAACATGTATACGTCCAGTTTACGAGTAATTGATATTTGTATAAGTATAAAACATGCGAAATTTGATCAATTTCGTGCTTTTTCTATTAAAATATATTGAGACAATTTTATATAAATAGAAATCCATTATATTATTTCATCCTTTGATTTTGATCATCATCATCTGATTTATGAGAAGTGATTTTATTATTTTCAAGAATAATCTGATGGAGATAAAAGTAATAATTTAATATTTATAAAAAAATTAGTCGAAATTAAAATGTTTTACAAATGACACATCATTTCAATATCATCATGGTGGTGATGATTAATATAATTCAAATAATAATAATAACATAAAAACAATTAAAAATATTTTTGAAACTATAAAAAAATAAACAAACATGTTGGAATATTTGTTAATCAAGTTTTGTTTAAAGTTTGCTAGTAATTATTGAATAGAACTATTTGCAGATCAAATAATGTGATCTTTCTTAGAAACACCTGTTGACATTTGTCAATTTTCTTGTAATTGATCTTAACTATGACAGATGATGATATTCTGTATGTAATTGCAAAGTTATGAACTGTATTGTGGTTTTAATTAATTAGGAAAATTGGAAGATACTTTTGAATCGCAAAAATTATGTTTTCATACTTTTTATTGGCATAATGTAATCCACAATTTAAAGTCATTGAGAAACTTTAATTGTTTTGACTGAGAAAAATTTGTAAACTTTGAAAGAACAACTTGGAAAAAACTAATAAAACAAAAAATCAGAAGCACTTCAATTTTTTTTAAATATGCAGTTTCAAAAGAAAAAGTAATGTCAAATTTTCAATAAACATAAATTTTACAAAAAGGAAATACAAGTTACTGAAAATTTTTATTATGAATATAAAAACACATTAAACTTTTTCAAATATTTTATGTATAAATAGCATGATATTGTTTAAGTTTGAGATTAAATTCAAATTTTGTGTTTTATTTTACAAGAACATTTTAAATAGAAAATGGATATTATATAAATTTATAATTTTAATTTTTTTGTTAGGAAAATTTAAACATAATGACAAGATCATTAAAATCATTCTAATTAACATTTTCTAGTCAAGTCTGGAGTCTGAAGCAGTTTAATTAAGGTCAAAACGGAATAAAGAAATTTAATGTTATTGTGGAAGATGTGAGATTGTCTCAGTACAAAAAAAAATAAATATTAATCAATATTAAAAGTATTAACTTAGACCATCACTATATAGTTTATTCAATTTATTTGCCATTAGTAAATAAATTTAATGATTGATTTTAACATTTAAGTTGTATGATTACCATGACAAATAAGATTATTAGTGGTAAGAATGACAAGAATAGTCTTATTTGTTGTTCAATTTATGAAGATTGTTAAGAGATTATATGTTAAATCAAAATTTTAGAACCTCGAGATTATTTCCAAGAATACTTAAAATTATCTATACTTAGATGTTAATATTTATCTTTCTGTTGAGATACTTGATTTATTGTAATGTTTGTGACATATTTATGTGATTGCCTAATCTAGTTCTAACTAGTCTTACTTTATTATGACACTACTATATTTATTTTGTTTTAGTATTAGAAAATAAATGAAAATTAATTATGGTATTTTATTTTATTAAGTAGTTTATGATAGTAATTTATAGTTTGCATTATCATTTATTATATAGGAGATATTAATTGTCTTTAATTTATTAATTCAATGTTGCTAAAAAGCATTGACTAAGTAATTCTCTATATGATTTATGATAAGGTCTGTTAGATTGTCAGTTAAATCATGAATTTTTTTGAAAGATTTACAAACTATTAGAAATGAAAGTACACTCTTCTCTAACTGCATTTAAATAATACACAAACCTTGACACAAAACCTTTAAAAATGCAGTCTTTTTATTCACTTTTCCAAACGTTTTTGGACAGTTTGAATGGCCTTCCTCATGAACAGAAAAATCAAATCCTTTAAGTAGATTCGATTTTTCTGTTCCTGAGGAAGGCTATTCAAACTGGCTGAAAATGTTTGGAAAAGTGAATAAAAAGGCTGCATTTTTAAAGGTTTTTGTTTTGAGGTTTGTGTATGAAATGAATGTACAGAATTAAATTAAAAGAAAACTGATTTGTTAGGGATTTCAACAAAAGTTGCACACTGAAAACTTATTTTTGATGTTTGTGGTCCAATATATACATTACTTTTGATAAATGTTACAGCTGATGATAAATTTTTGTTTACAAACATGAATATGATTTCTATTTATTACAATACATAGTACAAAAAGACACAAGATTGCATTCAAGACAAAAATTATATTGTCATTACACTGTTATAATGGTAATCTTTGTTAAAAAAAGGGAGATGATGTATAAGAAATAATTTATAAATTTACATCCAACTTTTAGAATAATAATAGAAGACAGTAAATGTATTAATATTATATATACATATGTATAGTAGATGTATTAATATTTTTTATATAATATATATGTATATTTTTTCCCTCTCTTTTTTTATTAAGAAATTTCCTAGTATTTCTTTATTATGGTTCTGATCTTAATTTCTGAATATTTTTTTAATTAAAAGACTTCCTCTTTAACTGTAAGTAGTCATACAATTAGTTTTATGAAGATATGAGTAGTTTATTTGGGAATGGTTTTAGAACATAAGTGTTCAGCTTTGAAAACTAAAAAATTATGCATAAACTGCACATTTTATTTCATTTAATCACAAGTAAAATATCAAATGAATCTAAATGCACACATTGTCCCTCAAAAATTACTGACATTTTAAACTTTAAGGAAAAATCTTGTAAAATCGACAACATAATTTGTTAATATAAAGCTAGACAATTGGAAATCTTTTTTTGCAATTCTTAAGTCAAATTCACTCTCTGTCAATTACACTTATGAGTTTCTCCAAATTCTGATTTCATGTGGGAATGAATTAAAACTTATATTGGGTGATTTTGGAATTTCAATCTGGAATTCAATTCAAATGCTTTGCTTTTCCTATTGCTATTCATCTTTACTCCTGACAATATACAAGAATGATTCAAACAACCCAGATAAAATACTTTTTAAATACAAGAGGGTAAGCAAAAATTGCGAATACATGGTTCACAAAAATTATTTGAAAAATCGTAAAGAATCTTTTGCTTGCGCATATAGGACGACCTAGGAATTTGAAGCTATGATAAATGAATAAAAACCTTGTCTTATATGCAAGTAAATGCGGTTAATTAAAGAATGTTTTTTTATTTATCAAAGATATTTTTATATTAAGTGTTTTGAAATTTGAAAGCATAAATATAACAGTGTAGATAAAAAAAAATATACACAAAAAATTAAAATCAAAAATTTGTGTAAATTTTTTTTTACACGTTGTTATATAAGCAAAAAGTTAATAAATTAAAACAACAAAGTCTTTTAAATGAAAGTCAAATAAACCTCTGAAAAGACCACTTTTCTGGCAGAAGTATAAGATTTTGCAATAGATAGCACAAAGGATAATCAATGAAGTGTCTGACCCTCCACCAAATGTGAAAAATGCAGCAAAGTCAATCAAAATCACCAACCGAAATTTCACATGAAATCATTGCAGAAATGTTCTGCAGAACAGATTTATTCCAAAGGACAATGCATAAATTTATCCTCTGTGCTACCTGTTGTAAAAATTATCTGCTTTCACCAGGTAAAGGTTTTTTAGAGGAAGCTGTTGGAAGTCTGCAAGCACCTTTTACATTGTTTTTCCTGTTCTCTCCCTTTCATAAATCCAACAACTAGCAATTATACATTCTTCAATGGTGTAGTTACTTGTAGCAGTCATTATTTGTGTTCTTTTATCTGAAACAACAAATGGAACATATGATTAATTTTCTGTATGGGGTGATGGGACTTTTTGCCTACCCTGTATAATAACTGGTTACAATGTTTAATTAACAAAAATATTAATAAAGTACAACACTTTGGGTGCGTTTACTTCTGAGCTAATTTTACTATAAGCACACTCAGCCTGTATACTTTTGTCCGAGTGCCACGCTCATTGGCGTTTACTTTAGGGCTATGTGACGTCATGTTTAGCGAAATTGGTAAGCTCGGAGTGCTAGCTAGTTTGTTATCGAGCTTTGCACTAATTCAATATGGCTGCTCTCATGAAAAAATTACTTTCTGTACAAAGTACTAAAAATGGAATTAGTTTTCGAAAAATAAACGGCAGAAAGTATTTTTATTGGTAAATTTCAATTATTTATTGTGTAAAATGTTTACAATGATCTTTTTTTCATTGTAAGGTTCAATAGCTTCAGATGACTTTTTTCATAAACAGAGTTAATTAATGTGAAAAAAATTAAGTTTGATTCATTGTTTATGATTAAAAGTGAAGTTTACCTAATACACATTTGGAATCTTCAGAAATGTTATGTTCAGAGCATTAAATAAATCGTAAAGAAATGAACGGCATTAATAATCCAAAATTACATAAGTTTGTATACTTGAATGAATTTTCACTTACATATGGAAAATGACTTCTCAAGAAATTATATCATTTGAATACCATTTTTTCATTACAAACTAAACTTATATGATGACAGAGTAATACTTATTTCTATTGAAATAGACTACTGCTTCTTCAGTTGATGTCTTAATAGCCATATGCTTTTCATCAATAGAGCCTCTAATTCCAGGAAAACCAGATTGGGTATAA